TCATGAAAAACGTTTAAAATAAATTGAATAATATTCATTTATTTCTATAGGTGGGAGTAATTCGAGTAAACAACTACAAATCAATTTATTATCCTTTAAATAAGAATCTTTGCATTGAAACTTCTGGAAGATGTGTCCACCGCAATATTTGTACAGGGGTATCAAAAGTCAAAGCTGTCAACCGACCGTTGGATGGCCGCAAATATGTTGCATCGTTCTACCTATTACAGTCAATAGAACCTAAATAAACTCTGTTCATCAAAAAGACAAAAAGCTTATGTATCAAACATACGTGGTAGTACAAAAAATTTTGAGATCTCCAGTCATGAGACTTAAATTCATACTCATAGGTGATCTTGAATTTCTGCACTGCGTTCAATTAAGCAATTTGTAAAATCATAAATTTCAAATAGGTACCAACTTTTTCAATTTAATTCTGAATGAGTCGCGTCTGTTGAACTACTACAATGCACCAAAACCTGGAGTTATTTGGAGTTATTTTACCAAAAAAAATAATTGATTTTACCACCCGGTCTAAGTTACCCCAAGAGCTGGGGTAACAAAGACCATCACTTTTTTTGAAATTACATAAAGACTAGGAGAGGCAGGAGCCAGCAATTTATGGTGAGTGAAGCTAGAGTATAGACCTGTAATTTGCATGTTTCAATTCAAGTTTAATTTAGCTAGTAAGAAAATGGCATCATTTATAGGAAAAAAAGTGGTCTAAGTTATCCCATTTTACGGTATCAAACATAAAATATGTTATATAGGTACCTATGGTAATTTTAACTTAATTTCCAAGCCGGGCAATGTTACCCCGTCACGGCTGTCATTAGGTGGTCAAAGTTACCCCATTGGGGGGTGGTACCCCATTTGCAAACTATATAGGTACCCCATTTGCAAACTATGACACTTTCCTAAAATTTGTCTTTTGCATATGTAACTAGAAGTGTTCTACTACAATGCATCAAAACCTGGAGCTATTTAACCAAAAAAATGAAAAAATTGGAGGGGGTACTCCAACAGGCTTTAAATAATAGCTCTTTTTTGTGGGTCACATTGTTAATTTTTTAACCTATTAGATAGGCAAACTATTTAAATCTTTCTATTGTGTTACATAGCCTCAGTATTAGGCCTTTGATGGCCATTGACAGAATTTTTCTATGTCAAATCGTTTTTGAGTTTGGGGGTTTTTGTTAAAAAAACGAAAAGTGGTCAAAGTTACCCCGCCGGTCAAAGTAACCCTATTTTACGGTAATGCATACGGTTATTTTTTTTATAGTTTTTCATTTCTCGATGCGTCCTTAATGTGATGGAATATACTGCGTTTACCCTATATTCTGACACATTAAGGACTTGGCAAAAAATGAATGGCTATAAAAATATTACCGTATGCGCAGTTCTGTTTGCTTTACATCACTCTCAAAACACCGCACTATGCGCCAGCAACAATGAAATGTCACAAACTGATGCCATATTTATTTAAAAGCCTTTAGAATGCAAACCTACCAAATCCATATTTTCCGACGCGGTAACTAAATTTGGCATTTTCTGAGACTAATTCTGGCTGGGCTTCAAACTTTACTAATTCATAATTCCAACCCTCTTGTCTTCAAATTCCAATCACTGTGTGAGTTGTATTGGAATGCAACACAGCTCAGAATTAGAACACTATTGAATATTGAACACTACTTAATTAAGCTTTTAATTAAGAGCTATTAAGCTTTTAATTAAGAAAATTTTAATTTTTGCATACAGCTTGGAACGAGCTGTGTGTGTCTAATTCTAACTCTAAGCTGTGTCGGAATTAGTTTTTATATGTCTAAAACCGTCTCTTAACTTAATCATCTATTAATTTATTTACCACGTTAAATCAGCAAAACAAGTATACTTAAAGGATTCCTAATATATTCACAGATTTATTTAAAAGTCTCAAACCATAATATTCTTTCTACACAAACAGTTTATCACTATTTAGTAGAGCAAGGTCAACTATCAACTTTGACACGTTTTTTGATGATCTCACTGGGTGATGTACACTGTCTCTCTTTGGATCTTAACATTTTCCCGCCAGACGGCCAAGACCTAGTGTTTTGGCAATAGTATGACGTCACTATTTCAACCATCAACCAATGTGTGGAACTAAGAAAAAGCTTAATATAAAGGAAAAAGTTGAGAAGTGTTGGAATTACCAATGATGTTGGAATATACCGGTACCGTAAAATGGGGTAACTTTGACCACTTTTTTTTTTAAAAAGATGCCATTTTTTTACTAGATAAGTTAAACTTGAATTGAAACATGTAAAATACAGGTCTATACTCTAGCTTCACTCACCATAAATTGCTGGCTCCTGCCTCTCATAGTTTTGATGTAATAAAAAAAAAAATTGATGGTCTTTGTTACCCCAGCTCTTGGGGTTTCTTTGACCGGGTGGGAAAATAAATTTTATTTATGGTAAAATAACTCCAGGTTGTGGTGCATTGTAGTAGAACTCTTCTAGTTACATATGCAAAAAAAAAAAAAATTACGAAAGTGTCATAGTTTGCAAATGGGGGGTGCCACCCCCCAATGGGCAAAATGTGACTACCTAATGGCAGCTGTGACGGTGTAACATTGACCGTTTTGGAAATTAAGTTAAAATTACTATATATAAGACTCTGTAGAGTCTGAAACATAAAGAAAATAACATTAATAGGTGTATCAAACATAAAATATGTTATACAGGTACCTATGGTAATTTTAACTTAATATCCAAGCCGGTCAATGTTACCCCATCATGGCTGCCATTAGGTGGTCAAAGTTCCCCCATTGGGGGTGGTGCCCCCCATTTGCAAACTATGACACTTTCCTAAAATTTGTCTTTTGCATATGTAACTAGAAGAGTTCTACTACAATTTCTATTGTGTTACGTAGCCTCAGTATTAGGCCTTTGATGGCCATTGACAAAATTTTTCTATGTCAAATCTTTTTTGAGTTTTGGGGGTTTTTGTTAAAAAAATGAAAAGTGGTCAAAGTTACCCCGCCGGTCAAAGTAACCCCATTTTACTGTACCTCGTTTACCCTATCTACCATTTAAGTCAGAACTAGAGCTTTCTTGATTTTTTTAGAGTTGCAAGATTCCCAATAGATAAATTATCTTCTATCTCATTGTTAATATAACTGCACTATTGGCCACCAAGATTCCAAATGTACCTATGAAAAGACTGGGCATTTTAGAGCTATTTCATTCATGAGTAAAAAAATTTTAATCTAGATTTGCTTGACTAACATTAACTAGAGTAAAAGATGTAGTAATGAAGAAATGAATATTTTCTTATATACCCAATGTTTGCAAAATTTATTTTTCAGATAAATTGTCATCTGTCTCATTGTTGATAAAGCTGGATGTCTCAAGTTCCCCTCAAATATATAAATTTGACTTACTTGAGTCATAGCCAGGATGTTTGCAGTGCTTCACCATTCAAAGATCTGCCACTCCCTTCACAAAAAAATGTCCTGGCCTTGAAAAATAGCACTTCTGGAGGGCCTTTGAATTGCATTTTTTCTAAAAAAAGCATGCTAATCAGTTTGTATAGACATAGTGCATTAATGTGTCCAATATCTCATTTCTTCCTATCACCATGAGGCTTATTAGGATAGTGCAGTTTAAAAGAAGATAGGAGATAATTCTTCCAATGGGAATCTTGATGCGTTCAAAATTATGGGAAGGCCCTATTTAAGGATTTGCATGTGGCTAACTTACCTTCCATGTTTTATTCAGAGTATAGAGGTTTGGAATGGCATTACTGTCCCTTGCTGCCCCAACAAGGTCCCTTGTTTGCTTTCTAGACTATTGGAGAAGGCCATTTTATTAGAGATATTGGCCCTTTTCAAGCTTGTCATCAAGCCTTCTTGATCTTGAATTGGGCTCAATGTTCAATTGAAGGTCTGATTGCAAAATGATCAACACTGCAAGGTGCAATGATGGGCATCTGCATTCCAATTTCATTGGTATCCATCACCCACTTTGGCGGTAATATCAACCAAGTCAGAATCAATTATTGATCACAATTTTAATCCATGTCCCATGAAGAAGTGTAGGTATATAATTAGTGACCACTGTCTCCACAGTCAGACCTTGCTGTCTCTGGGGCAATGAATTGGTGTTTTAAAGGTAGTGAATTTGGCATTCTTGACCTATATGTTCTTTACTCTAACAGTCATGAATTGATCCAAAAATATCTGCTCTGTCATAAAGATAATAATCTGTTTGAGGTATTTAAATCAATTAAAACGTTTGCTTTGGTTAATTTATTACTTCTCTTTTGAATCCTACCCTGCTCTTATATGACTATACAACTATTAGGTAGTCATTGTTGATGTTAATTACGGAATAATCCCCCATTTTGGATAACTTGGAATCTTGCCACACAATGGTGATACCTATTTAAGTAACAAACTGGCAGCAAAAGATTCATCTAGCTTTAATATTGTTGCTCCAAAAATTTATTGAAAATTAGTCAGGACCCAGTAAGTAAATCTTTTTCAGTAGTTGTTGATTTTAGATTCTATAATGACATTGAGAACTAAAAATATTTTTGGTACTAGTTTTCTGGAAATGTGAATACCAAGATGTTTGATTTCAAATTCAGCAAAGATATTCATGTTTCCATGTGGCCACCAGTATTTGAAATTCACTCAAAATATGCAACTTAGGAACTATGAGATGTCCGTAAAATATAGAAAAATGTCAAGGTATCCAAAAATGGAAAACTAAATCTTCTTGCTGATATTTTGCTTGTTGGCAGGTATTTAGCTCAATACCTATTGAATGTGGCTGCTCCAAGTATACCTAGTTGGATTTTATATAGGTAGTTGGATTTTTAGTTACCACAATCATTTTAGAGAGATAAAATATGTTTATATAAATTTATTTTCTAAAAGAAAAGTATTCTCTCTAGAGTCTTTTTGACCTACAGCAATGAAAGTTATAAATAATACAGTACTTTCTGTTTTACAGGAAGAATGTACCTGACTATGTGGTGTCAAGAGAGAAGAATGATCTTGGGGTACTTCGGTTTGATCTGAATGCTGACCTCACTCCAGTCTTCAACTGGAATGTGAAACAACTGTTTGTATATCTTGTGGCTGAGTATGTCTCTGAGAAGAACAGCATCAATCAGGTGAGTCTGATATGCCTTTACAAGTTGTCTTTGTGCTCTTCCCTAAAGACTTTTCAGAAATTTGCAACTTGAAAAAAAATTGTTTTCAACAAAACGTCCCTGTAATCAGTCCCTGCTGCTCCTGCAATCTCCATTTGTTTACCTTTGACATTTAGGACCATGAACTTCATCATGTTTTATCCTCATCTTTGCATTTGCAAGATTTTATATCAAAAAGTACCATTTGACTTTTTTACAGTTTGATGCCTTCAAGGTTTCTGGGAGTATAAGTAAATATTTTCATGCAAGATCTGATTGTTGATTTTAGTTTGCAAACTGTGTCCAATTTTGTATATGTTTATTAATATGCATTACTATTGTCAATTGTCTTTGTTTGCTCTTGGCTCTGAATTACCTTTTTTGTTTAGTTAGTCAGGTCTGTGTAGTGTCAATTAAAAAAATATATTACTTGTATTATAATATTCACCATGAAAATTTCAGTGAATTATATAAGCCTACACTTTATTTATATAAATTCTGAGTTATTTTCCAGGTTGTATTGTGGGACCACATCATAAGACGCCATATTGATTCTCCAGTCCTGAAACTCAAGAATGAAAACCTCAAATACTATTTCTGGGATGATGGACATGGTTTGATGTAAGCCAGCATTCCTGTCATAGATGTGAAACTTGCTTATATATTGAAGCATTTATATGTAATGCATTTATCTCACTTGTATGCTGCTCTTTGTTTGAATTGTAAAACTTAGCTTATAAAACCGAGCTAATGACCAGCAAATGTAATAATCTTCCGTTTCAGTGGCAACAAGAATGTCACACTTCGTCTTGAATGGAACATCATCCCAAATGCTGGGCAGCTCCCTCTCTGGCCCGCCACTGGATCTCACAAACTTTCCTTCCCTGACAAATACGCTGCATCTCAGCACTGATATGTTTAATGCCATGTAGTTCGTCATCTAGATTCATTGCATTGAGATGTTGATTGATATTTTGACTATAAACATGATTTTGCTTTAGTATCGTGAAGTTTTTTTCAAATTTATACAACTGCAGGTGAGCGTTCCACTTTTCGCTGTAGGTGAAAAAGAATCCTATAACTTGTTTCTAGCAAAAAATTAAGCTCTTGTCTGCTGTTGTTGTATTCACATTGTAGCTTGAGGTATGAAGCCAAACTAAATTTTGACACTGATAATCATGAGCTTCTTTCTTATTCTGACATCTAATAATCAGCTAATATATTGAGTTTTTGTGAAGTATGAATACCATGATTGTGTTGGTTTCCATTTAGGTAACTCAACGCCTGAGTTTAACCTGCCATTAAACTGAGCATTTGCCACTGTTGTTTGACCAACGTTTTTTTACAATCAATTCGAAATTGATATATTCGATACGCCTCGACTAATTTAAATGAAAGTCACTCGGTAAAATGATGCTCCTGTAGAACTGATGATGAGCTTGACATCGTCAAATGTTTCCTCAATTGTACGAAATGATCATCTTGAGGTACCTAACGTTATCCGTGGATGATGAAAGTATTTTCTTGACAGCCCTTGTTTTGTATTTGATACTTCCACTTATTTATTGCACTGTTTTGAATAGATTAGCCTTCAATTCTATTCAGTCGTAAGCGACACTTGAGTTCAGGGTATCTTTCTATTCGTAAACAGTCACGTATGTTTGGAGTGGATGTGCGTTTTTTTCTATAATTACTCACCGCTGTGGTTTTGGTCTTATTAAACCATACATTTTGCCACTTCTTGCACTTTCGCATCTGAACTAGGATTTACTTTACCGTAGGTACTAAATTCACGTTTTATTATCGGAAAATTTCTGAAGTTTTATGATGTTACTGTCACGTGTGCTGTGTTCATTTCTAAAAGTTGGTTGCTTGAAGTATGGAGTAAAATCAAACATCTATTTGATTACAATTCTTTGACCCCCCCCCCCTTAGTAGGTATTCACGCCAGTCGGCTGTGTTCGCTGTTCTATTTTGACGATTCCTGTTCATATGTGGCGCTCTTGGTAATTATTACAGTCCATTTTCTTTTAGGTGCGTGGTTAGGTGTGATGCAAGTCAGGTTTTGTTCATTTGTTTACGCAATCTAAACTCTCTTGACCGACATCAGCGCTTAACAAACAGGCTATAGAGATCCAGGATAATGAACGGGAACGGTGGAATGTGAATCTGGTCAATTATTTTCGCTAGCGTGATAATATTTATTTGACTAATTAGTTAGTTCGCTGCTTTACGTGTTCAAACCAAGATCAAAGTTCAGTGAGCTCATTCGAAGTTTCAATTAAGTCCAGCTGTAACCCGTTTCTGAACAGATGAGGGTGTAAGTTGTCAGACATATCGTTGATAAATCTATAACTTTACATCAAAAGTATAATGAAGACTCCACTTTACCGACGAGACAACTTGTACACAGCAATCCTTGCGTAAATTTTGTTAAGAATCATGAAGGCTGAGGAACAGAAGTGCAGTAGCAGATTTGTAAAGTGTATTTTTAGATGCCACTAGCATTTTGCAAATCTGAAATGATTGCAAGGTTAGTCAGAATTTTAAGAATCACTTGAACTATTAAATACGGTTCCACAAAATATTTAAAACGAAACAACTGAAGTAATTTTCCAACCAATTCATTTTTGCTAACAAAGCAATCGCTACATAACCAGGGTTGGCAATTCAAAGTGAAAGTGCCAGTTTCACATGTATAAGACATACCTATTACGGATTGCACTTCGATTTACAATATCAATACTGATTCGAGAAGGCTGATATGACAGTTCAGGTGACGCGTCCAATAACAAAAAAATTGAATTCGTTAAGATGGAACATGCTGGATGGTACAGATCATGAGCAGATACGATATCAGATGAACTGCGAGGGTAGACTCGAATTCGTTTCCAAGACTTGATATGCACCACCTGGAACGAAATCGAGAAGAACGTGCACGAGTTGAAAAATAACGGTAACAAAAATATTTGTCCACTCTTCCAACAGGAACGCAAATTCTGTCTGTACATCAAAACAGAGAAATAGTTTCTAACGATACGGAAAAACACCATCAAAGGAAACCAGAATAAAGTTAGGACAACAATACAAGCCAAATCGATTTCCCAAACAAACTTCATTCGTAAACTCGTAATAAACGAAACCAATGCAGTGATGTATACATCAAATCGAACTTAATTCTACAATGTACGTGCACAGCACTGGATGCCAAAGATAAACAACTCACTAATTTAAACTATGCTGTTAATAACGAGATAAATAGCAAGTTCTTGCACTTCACGACTAGTAGAACCATGGATCAAAATTAAATGTTCTATTCACACCTTCTCTGTTCTATTTCCTACCTGTTGACCTTTCGCCAAGATTTGTCACCAATTTCTTTAAATATTGACACCTTTTTCCTCGCGTACTCTAAAGCAAACAATTTCAATGATACTTGGTAGTCAATTTTATCATCAAAGCAACCTGATAATCTCAATCAAATACCAACAATGGTTTCAAAACTTTTTCGGTTTTTCATCATGCAACCAGAAATATTGACCAACACAACAATAGCATTCTCACAAAAATTTAAAGCGAAATCTAAAATAAATCTATCTAGGATAGAGTGGAATAATTTAACTTGAAGGAATTGTGCTGAGCTGAATAATTTCCACTCAAACATCCATTCTCTTCACGTCAATGCACTATAATTTCAGTTGCTGAAATGTACATTCGATGACTTCAATCGCATAATTTGCCACTAACATTCAAGGTTCATGACCTTAATTGAGTTGAAAATGCAAGCCAACAAAAACGAATAAAGAATAATATAAGTCGAAGCTAAATCAATTTGTTTTTTAAAGCTACAGCACACATTTAACTACTATGAATAATAGCTTTACCCAGTCCATTTTCCAAGAAACGATTGCCGATACTAAAAATCACCAGGTAAGGGTATCTTAATGGACAAGTAAAGAATGAAAAGTTTAAACTAATCAACAAATCTGAACACTATTTGATTAGTATTCACGACCAACGCTATCAATCAACTAAAACGATATTCATTTAACAAATCAGAACATTGATATAAACATTTACGGAACAATGACAAAGCTATTAACAAAATAATGATCAGAAGATCGGAGCAGTAGACTGTGGATGTCTACAATCTCATTAGGTCGGGTCTCGAGCCTGGTAGAAAAGAATATAGCCAGTCTCGGACGACTTCTGAATTTCTGAAGTGAGTCCGTAAAAATCCTCTATGTAGGAAGGATCAATTTTCTGAAAACAAACAATGAATGAAATTTTACATTTGCAGAAAATCTGAAAATGATATAGTCAAAGAATAGCAAAATGCGAAAAATGAAATAGTAAAATGTGTCATTTCATTCTACGATACTGAGCAGTAGTAAACTATATATGTTGAATGTTTTGAAAAAAAAACACCTTTGAAGCAAATAACTGCGTGGTATCTTTGAAAAAAAAAAGCATGGAAAGATGTCTACTACAATTAAGAAATGGGTAGAGGAAGTTTCCGATAATATTTCCAATGATGTTAATTGTACTTCTTATTCTACAGCCAAACCACTTAATGAGGTGGACAATTCTTCATAAGACGTTAATCCTCAATTACCCTTCAAAAAATATGCCCATCTATTTATTCACATTATTCGTTATTTCCAACGTGAAGCCTCATTAATAACTTACGTCGACGAGATCATCATCGAAGAGAAGCCAGAACCTGTGGCTTTTAACAATGCTGAAGTAATGTCCTCTGTTGATGCCGGTGCCGCAATGCACCACAATGGCAGCCAAGTCGTACAGGCGGTCTGGGTTCACTGCATCGTCGCTCTAGTCAAGAGTAGCATTCAAAATAATAACAGAATATGAATTGCAACAATAAAACGCCAGAATGCGAGTTGCAAAAAAGGTCATGATACAAAGACAAAATTATGCGTCCAAAATAGACCTTTTAAACTGGTAGAGTTATAGGTTTACTGTTAAAGGCCAGAATAAGCGTTTCAACCTAGAAATGACATACACTTAATTAAGTCACTCATTGAAGAACAATGATCCATCATTGATGGGCAGAGCGAAAATTTCGCTCGTGCAAAGGACAGTACCGAATTTGCAGCCACCGAAACGACAGAAAAAGAATAATTGTCACAAGAAGAGTTATAATTAATGGAATTAGATAGAAAGAACATAATTTGAGATGACTAAAAATACAAATTCCGTTTTTTCTAAAAAATTCAAACAAACCAATATTTTTGGAAAATATCACGCCTGAAAAACGTTTATTTGTAAAAAAAAATTTGTATACATATACGTACCGTGTCGAATACCCTTAACTCGAGAGGGAAAACGACCCTGTGGGAGAGCTTGAGTGGTCGGTTGAACTGGCCCAGAAATTGAAAGCGTTTCAAGTGAAGCACCAAAATACTTGGAAGCTTTTTCAGACGCGTCCTTTTTTGATGTTCCTGGGCATATAAATAGAGGCAAGTTAACACATCAAAGCTTTCAATTCAATAGGAAAAATTCAATCATAAAAAATTTTGAGAATTAGCCGGATGTTTTGAATTGCTTATATTTTCAATAAACACTTAAAAAAAATAAATACCTATCCTTCAAAACATAACTAACTACTCACTTAACTATAACTCACTTGACTATAAATACTCACTTAAAATTTTTTACATCTAATGAAAAAATAGCAAATTAATACAAGATATCAATTTGTGGGCCTGATTGCATCAGAATAAAGCTAGAAGATCCACCAGAGGAAAAAATTGCACTTAGTTCCCCCAACACCCAAGTTCTAACAACCCAAGCTGTACAGTTTGATACAATAAACTAGACAACATACAATTTGACCCACTATCACCTTCTGAATGGAGGAAATAATAACGCTCTGAGAAAACACACGTACAATGAATTTGGCATAGCGGCATATGTAGTGGTCCCTGCTGCAGTAAACACTTAATTACTACCTGAATGCCTGAATGCGATCCACAAAGTTAGATTTATCTCAATCGGGTATTGATTCTTTTCTATTTTCAAGATATTTAATGAATTTCAATAGTAACTATAATCCTTTTGAACAACTTCTCCGTCATGGTCACACATATTGAATGGTCCTAATACAGTGTGCTTTTCTATCCCAAGTAACACAGTGTTTACCAGCTAATTAAATACAAATCTTGCCTGGAGCGAAGCACAGTTGTCACAGTGCACTTTGTTCTCAGCGCTGATGGTTTCAGTAGTGAAGTAGCAGCGAAGACAATGAGTGATGCTAGTGTTCTGATGGACCTCCACACTAAGGTTGTTCAGCACCTCATCAGTGCTGCGGACCTGAAAAATATGAATTGTTTTATTATTACAATTTTACAAATATCCGATAAACTTTTACCGAGGCCATTTAATTTACTTAAAGAGCTAACAGAAATTAAGAAAATTAAGGAAATTTAAAGAGGAGCTGCTGCAGTCCCAACAAACATACGGTTTCATAAAACATCAGTAAGGATAGTTTAAGGAGAGAAAAATTGTAGAAATTAGATGTAACAGAAAACCATTATTGGCTAAAACTCACGGATTCACAATTGAGGCATCTAAGTTCTCTAGTTACAATGGCTTGAAAAATTTCATGAACCCAAGTATTTTCTTGCTGCCGGTCTGTTCCCTGCTGCTGCTGTTGCCCATGAGGACTGCCAGGCGCTGTGTTGCTGCCATTCAGTGACACGTCATTCAGTATATTCTGCTGGTCAGGTGTCAGTGTTTCAGAGCTGATGTCCTCTTGGTTAGTGGGAATAATTTGAGGTTGTTGTTGTCTATTGCGACCAGCCTGCTGTTTCTCTGGAAAAAATATTTGATATTGCATAACATTATGGTTTGGATAATAGTAATAGTATTCACATTGAAGAATAAACAAATAAACAATGTCAGTTTACAAAAACGTCACAAATGAAGATAATGTAATTCATTTCAGCCTATATCATGCATGTAATATCTATATTTCTTATTTTGACAATGGAGTGATAGGTACAAGTTTATTTAAACCCTCATTCACCAAATATGGCAAACATATTTCATATTGATATTAATTGCTCTGCTAAAATATACCATAGGTAGATAAATTTTAAATTCAAGATAAATTATTCTGCCCTTACCCAATATACATTCGTTGATGCTGTCAATGAGCTGAACAAAGAACTCGTGGGCGTCGTGTTGCATGTAATTGTCAAACTTAACTGGAAATGAGAAAAAAATTTTCTAATACATTATATAATACATTCCTTATAATATACATTCATTGAAAAAGAAGCAGAAGCATAAAAGCTGAATATGACATAAAATTGTTTACACCTACTTATATTTGGCACCAGGATTGAATCATCCACTAAGGCATAGATAGGTATCTTTTTCATTCATTAAAAAATATAACTCAATACTCACTGCAGTGAGTGACAGAGCACATTTTCTCATTGACAAAGTAATGGACGGACAGACAGATGGACATGGAAAGCACAATAGTGCATTTTTTATATATGAGAAAATGTGCTAAAAAGACTTCAAAACTATACCCTAGTGGGTGGTATCATCACAGCTGCATCTAAGTTTACATACCTACTATAAAAAAAATAACTATACACACACCATTTTCTTTGCGGAACCGCGCAATGAATTTCTTAGGAGCAATGGTACCGACTTTCTTCTTCTGTGTAGCTATGTTGTAGAAGAGGTCGGCAAGACAAGCCAGCAAAGTCTCTTTGTTTCGCTTGTTCTTGGCTTTGTATTCAAGGATTTTCTCCCGGAAAGGCTTACAGAAGTAAAGGGCTTGCAGAACTGAATTGATGTAGCAGGTGTTTCCAAACTGTAAAAATAAAGGAATAACATAAAGTATACATAAAATTTTACACAAACAAATTTATTTTTATGTGTTTCTCTAGGTTATGTCTTTAGAATCCATAATTTATTAACATTTCATTTCTGAGAATATTCTGAGGACACAGAATTTTCTCACAAGGTAACAGAAACTATGCAATCTAATATCTAGGTACATAATGAATGTATGGTAATTATGATTCATAAGTTTTCAATAAATTACATTACCAATAAGCCACAAATAGCCAAACAAATCTATAAATTTTTTGCTTATGGAGGATAAAATAGTAGATTCCCCAATAAAAAGGGAAGTTCAAGTCACTCTTCTCCTAAAAAATGTTACTTACATTAACAAGACCAAAATAATGTTCATTGGCAGGGAACTGATCCGAGCCAATTTCCTTTTCCAATTGGGAGGCATTAGCGCCCTGAAAAATTAAGAAGTATAAATCAGGCATAAAATCCAATGCATTACTACAATACATCCAAAGTAAAGGAAAGCTATTTCAAGTTAAAACAATAAATAAAATTAAGGAAAGAAATTCTAAGTTTACTATAGAAAATTTGAAATGAGTGGAATGTCCAAGAGAAAATGATGTAAATACGGTAAGATATAAATATAGAAGTAATAATAGAACAAGAAATTTTAGATGTAGTAGAATTGATACTTTCTGGCACACATAAGGACAAGATTTGTCAACATAGGTACACCTAATGCCAATATCTACCTACACTGCTACTGATAGCTTATGAAGAATTGGAACATTAATTGGATTTTGTGTTCAGAATCATTGTCTTGTTTTGAATATATATACCCTAGAGCATGTAGGTAAGTAAAACTATCATCATCAGGACATCAGCACATGAAAATGTTTAACAGTAAAAAAAAACACAGCAAAAAAGAGCTTTTCAAACTAGCCTAGATGGGTAATATAATTAGACATACATACTTGAAAGTTTGAACCTTTAGATGAAAAAAAAAATTTCAATTAAATAATTTTAATGGGTAGCCTCACAATTTTGTTAACACAAAATTTTGTGAAGACAAAATTGTACCAAAGCTTTGTAACTTTCTGTAGGCAGTGATGTCTCACTGGTCTGTGAGTGTACTTACCATTTTACAATACCCTAAGAAATCCAGATTGTTAAGTTGCAGTATCTGAAAAAATAATGAACAGTAACATTTAGCAGCAAAATTGTAAATCAAAATTATTTCTTATTCTGTAAATCATGAAATTCAACTAAAAATTGTCCTACTCAAACATAGATATAGGGCTAAACTTAATGGTAATAACTGCCTCAATTTTTGCAGGTCATTATATCTAGATCTTGCTGTATTTTCAAATAGAAATTAGGTCAAGGCCATGGGCAAAACTGAGATGATATACTGCAGAAATTAATGCCCACTGAAGAAAAAATGCCTCTGCCTGCAGTAAATTTCCCCCATTTTTATATTGTATATTTAACTTGTATTTTAGGACACTTATTTTGGAGATCAATGTAGTTTAGTTACAGAAATTTTTTGCACAAAAATTTTGCGTGGTAATGAGGGATTTAGACAGAGCATCTTATTATAGTACCTACCGTAAACTGGGGTAACTTTGACTCCCGGGGTAACTTTGACCACTTTTGGTTGTTTAACAAAAACCCCAAAAACTCAAAAACCATTTGACATAGAAAAATTTTGTCAATGGGCATTAAAGACCTAATACTGAGGCTACATAACACAATAGAAAGATTTAAAAAGTTTGCATATCTAATAGGTTAAAAAAATTAAAATGTGACCCACAAAAAAAAGCTATTTTTCAAAGCCTGGCAGAGTAGCCCCTCAAATTTTTTTATTTTTTGGCAAAATAACTCCAGGTTTTGATGCATTGTAGTAGAACTCTTCTAGTTACATATGCAAAAGACAAATTTGCAAAAAGTGTCATAATTTGCAAATCGGGGGCGCCGCCCCCCAATGGGGTAACTTTGACCACCTAATGGCAGCCGTGACGGGGTAACATTGACCGGCTTGGAAATTAAGTTAAAATTACCATAGGTACCTATATAACATATTTTATGTTTGATACACCTATTAATGTTTTTTTCGTCATGTTTCAGACTCTACAGATTTTTATATATGGTAATTTTAACTTAATTTCCAAACTGGTCAATGTTACCCCATCATGGCCGCTGTGTACAAAAATCTGGTGGAATTCATTAAATTTGTTAGTGGTAAATAATCTGCTTTTCTGGCCGGTGTCAAGCCGAACCCGAAGAAGAATAATAGCAGCAAGAACAATCAGATTTCCTACACCAGCCTAACCGCACGGTGCTCCCGCTTCACCTGTGTTTGCCTAGCAGTTTTTTGGAAGGCATACCTGCAGCATCTTACCTCGGCTGCGGTCCTGCTCTCCCCTTGATCTGGCGTAGTGGTGGCTCGACGAGAGCGTGGTTCCCCTACCTGGAGCTCAGACGTTCTTCTGCTCGGCAGCTGTGGTCACGGTGGTGCTACACTCCCGGAAGCTACACTCCTAAAGCTTCGGAGATGTCAGAGGTGAGGCTTGATTCTTGGCCAGAACCTGCTTACCTTGCTCCAAGCCAATTGCTCAAAATTGGATGATCCTTTGGGACTTGGACCGTTTATAATTTGTGAATTCCACCGATGTTTTGTTGAACACTGATATTAATTAGCCATGTACTGTATTCAACCAATTCTCAAGTTTGGGTTTGTTTACTTGCAGGCGTGTACCGTGTGATGTTCATGGCCAGCCATGGATGACCGAGCCAGCCGTTGATCCATCCTTTGAACTTAAATAAAGCCTGTTCAGTTTCTAGTAGCAAATCATTTCTTATTTTCCTGATTCGTTGAAATTGGTTATGGTTAATAACTGAAGTCGGAAATTCAGTCATCTTCTATTAAAATTTAAATTCAATATTCAATATTTTTGTATATGCCATTAGATGGTTACATTTTGCCCAGTTGGGGGCAGCACCCCCCATTTGCAAACTATGACACTTTCCTAAAATTTTTCTTTTGCATATGTACCTAGAAACATAGTGGAAGTCTATGAAGAGAGGTACTTATGTTGGTCCACCGCCGTGCGGCAGTCCGCGGTCTTAACCCTTCGCAAGGCCCCATGCCCTTGGCCTTTGGGCCCCTGTTGCAAGTTGCAATCAATGCAATGGTCTAAACTCAACGGTTTGACTCCCATGGTCTCATCACAACTCCCTTTAGAAATACGTAAAGTTTTGAAATTGATATAAATATATCAATAAATATTTGAAATGGGAAATTCCTTAGTTACTTACGTTGGTTCCAGAATGATATCAATAACGTAAAAAATGACAATGACAATTATGACATCGGTTAAGAAGCTTCAGCCATGAATGATCTCAGCTCTGCTCAGTCCTTTTACCTCGTAATTAATTATGTTAGAAGTTAGAACTTCGATGTTCAAATGTTGATACTACTGGCAAGTGTCAATATCACAATCAAAATTATTTCACCATCAGAAATATGTTATAATATCACAATCGAAAATATTATTCACAAATAAAGAAAAAATGCTATGATGCTGCTGATATGAAGCTTGCAGTGAACAAGGTTGTTGTGAATGCTCAATGGCATGTTCATGGATACCGTAATATCGCATCAATAATACAGTAATATCCCATCAATAATACGGTACCTTCAACTGGGTGATTCCGCCCTGTTCATAATGATGGCCAAAGTGGGGTAATAAATGGTCATAAACAGTGGCCAAAGTCACTCAGGCGTTTATGACCTGGTTTACAACCCTGGCGTTTATGACCCCGACGTTTACGACCCCTCGTTTACGACCCCAGCATGAATCAAAAACACAGCTGAAGTCACCCCAGTTGAGGGTAATTTATGTTTATGGTAATATCATATCAATGAAGGAAAAACTAGTAAAAGTCACAGAAAATGTCATTTATTCTACCTCTACATTGTCTACAATGAAAAGAGGAGGACTTCAGAGTACTGTTAGTAATGGATGAGTATGCTCTGCATGCTTCAAATATTTTAAAATGAAGTTTCATTCCCAGTGTCCTGAGTAGCCCTGTTCGACGGGGCTACTCGGGACACTCTTTTTTTGCTTCTGGCACCTTACGAATAGCATATGGAATTTTTTTGAAGATGCCATTCGATAGCCCTCGCAAAGAGCTATAAAATGAGCCTAAACTTGTTTATGAAATGTTTCATCGTAAGAAGTTATTAACAAAAAACGCTCAAAACCGTCCCGAGTAGCCCCGGTTGACGGTATCTCTGATGCAAGAAATACTGGCTAAATACATTTTAATTTAGAAATTAAGGTCAATCAAAAATTCGAAATTTCTGCTGTCAGGGCTATGTTGGTTCTTGCAAACCGATTGTTGCATCCAGTCGCTTATATTGAAAATAAAATGATTTAAGCAAGTATTTCTTGCATCAGAGATAATTCAAAGTTTGCTAATGTTAACAGCATCATAATACATGCAGAAACGTACATTTTTGTATAGATATTAAAAATTTAGGCTCTATGACTTGTATACTATGTCTATTACAGTCTATAGGATTTTGAATCTATGCATGCATTCAAATTCAAATTAGGTCCACCCACGCCCCACGGCCAGTGTAGCTGTCAGCTCACCTTCTTCAGAAGTGTGAAAGCTTTTGCCGGTGAAGGTGTGTTTTACGATCGGTCCATAAAGAAGTGTTGATTGGTTCAAAATGACATAAGAACAGGTTCTTTTGAATAACCTATGGATTGGCACCATGACTAGAAAGAGTTCTACTACAATGCATGGAGTTATTTGGAGTTACCATAAAATGGGGTAACTTTGACCACTTTTTTTCTTCAAAATGATGCCATTTTTTTACTAGATAAGTTAAACTTAAATTGAAACATGCAAAGTACAGGTCTATACTCTAGCTTTACTCACCATAAATTGCTGGCTCCTGCCTCTCATAGTTTTGATGTAATTTCAAAAAAAGTGATGGTCTTTGTTACCCCAGCTCTTGGGGTTTCTTTGACCGGGTGGTAAAATCAATTTTATTTTTTTGTAAAATAACTCCAAATAACTCCAGGTTGTGGTGCATTGTAGTAGAACTCTTCTAGTTACATATGCAAAAGACAAATTTTAGGAAAGTGTCATAGTTTGCAAATGGGGGGTGCTGCCCCTTAATGGGCAAAATGTGACCACCTAAGGGCAGCCGTGACGGGGTAACATTGACCGGTTTGGAAATTAAGTTAAAATTACCATATATAAGACTTGATAGAGTCTGAAACATAAAGAAAAAAATATTAATAGGTGTATCAAACAAACTATGTTATATAGGTACTACCTATGGTAATTTTAACCTTATTTCCAAGCCGGTCAATGTTACCCCGTCACGGCTGCCAATAGGTGGCCAAAGTTACCCCATTGGGGGGTGGCACCCCCCATTTGCAAACTATGACACTTTCCTAAAATTTGTCTTTTGCATATGTAACTAGAAGAGTTCAACTACAATGCATCAAAACCTGGAGTTTTTTACCAAAAAATAAAACAATTGCAGGGGGTACTCCAACAGGCTTCAAATAATAGCTCTTTTTCATGGGTCACATTATTAATTTTTTAACCTATTAGAAATGCAAACTTTTTAAATCTTTCTGTTGTGTTACATAGCCTCAGTATTAGGCCTTTGATGGCCATTGACAAAATTTTTCTATATCAAATCGTTTTTGAGTTTTGGGGGTTTTTGTTAAAAAAACGAGAAGTGGTCAAAGTTACCTCGCCGGTCAAAGTAACCCCATTTTACGGTATTTTACCAAGAAATAAAATTGATTTTACCACCCGGTCAAAGATACCTCCAGAGCTGGGGTAAAAAAGACCAGCAATTTTTTTTTATTACATCAAAACTATGAGAGGCAGGAGCCAGCAATTTATGGTGAGTAAAGCTAGAGTATAGACCTGTATTTTGCATTTATCAATTTAAGTTTAACTTATCTAGTAAAAAAATGGCATCATTTTGAAAAAAAAAACAGTGGTCAAAATTACCCCAGTTTACGGTATCATAAGTCGGAATGCAGTCTGTAAATCACGCTTTGTCAGAAGAGCAGCAGGCCAGCAGCATCTTACGAGTTCAGTGTACAACTTGGTAAAGCAGTGGGAGGTGTAACTTGGTTGTCCTTATGATCCATTTTGTTGTATCAGTGGTTTTTAA